ACTCAATTTCATATTTATTTTCACATTTTCACTTCGCGGTCCTTCTCTGTTCTTTTTCCGTTATTTACACGTGTAGGTCATTTCATTGTTATCCACATTTGACATCATCATTTATCACATACTTCCATGACACTCTTGTCTGCCCGCTACAACTGCCAAGAATTAACGCGATTGGCGAAGCGTAGTGACAGCGGGCCAATAGAGAGCAGGATCCTTGCCATAATGCGGTTTGCGCGCCAATTTTCGTACGTGCGTTAATCGAGCCGAATAGTTTGGCCGAATAGCCGAATATTCGGCCACGCTCCTGGCCGGATATTCGGTATTCGGCCTGAGGCCGAATATACTATTCGTTACATATATACTATATATACTATATTCTTAAATTTACTGCGAGAGGTAGCACACAGCAATTGCCTGAGTGGAGTGTCGTAGTGTTTTGCTACTGTATACATCGTATTTTTCCTGTTAGCAATACAGCCGTGCTGATTAGGCCTATATATATATATAAATAACTTCGTTCAAAAAACATTTAAGTACTTTATTATCACATAAAAAATTATGAGGAGGTCGATTTAAAATACGTATATGACTTTTTTTAATGGGAAATTTGATTAGTTGGAAGACTACCGTTTGATATTCCGCTGTGAATGTAAGAGATATTTTCGATTCCTCTCTACTTAACCAATGAAATTGTGCTATTTCTTATAGTCCGACTATCGAGATTAACGTTAGAGTAACCCTCGGTTGTCAAAAAGGATGGTTTTTCTATTAAATATATCGAGTGTGGAGGGACTTAAAGTTATGAAGTAAAATAAGGCGGAGAGAAATAATCGCGTGATCACCCTNCTTATAGTCCGACTATCGAGATTAACGTTAGAGTAACCCTCGGTTGTCAAAAAGGATGGTTTTTCTATTAAATATATCGAGTGTGGAGGGACTTAAAGTTATGAAGTAAAATAAGGCGGAGAGAAATAATCGCGTGATCACCCTTCTCCTCGTCAGGATTCCCGACACCAGTTAATCTTATTTTAACGCGGATTAACACGCTTAACCACGGCCGTTTTCGCTGGTTCGCAGCTGTCCACCTGCAGTTTTCAATAATTTTTTCTCATGTTCACACTTAAATAAATGCCAGTTTTTCACAGAAGTCATGTTAATCTTATGTAGGGGTTAGATGAGTAAAGACAGACCGGCAAAAATCAATGTGGCCAGCACGAAGTGACGTGCAAACTCGCAAACAACTACGAAACTTTACTTGTTTTATCCACCGAACACTGAACAGAAAGAATTAAAGTTTACCTGAACTAAATTGGAGTACTGTATATATAATTTTAGTTTTTCTAAAGACGATAAACTTACAAGCTCCGAGATACCTGTATACATGTAATAAGTAACTGATTGTATATATATAATTAATATTAAAACATTGTCTAGGATAGGAAACAGCTNAAATATTTAATTATATCAATATTATTCATTAAAAATTTTTTTTTACAAACTACGTAATCATTTTATTTACTTTAATAATAAAAAAGTGAAGTGAAATTCGTTGTAATTATTTATAATCGAGGATCAACAATGACCAAATGGATAAAATCACTGAACACAAGCCGTTTACGCTGGTTGGCAGCTGTCCACCTGTAGTTTTCAATAATTTTTTCTCATGTTCACACTTATATAAATGCCAGTTTTTCACAGAAGCAATGTTAATCTTATGTAGGGGTTAGATGCGTAAAGACAAACCGGCAAAAATCAATGTGGCCAGCACGAAGTGACGTGCAAACTCGCAAACAACTACGAAACTTTACTTGTTTTATCCACCCGACACTGAACAGAAAAGATTAAAGTTTACCTGAACTAAATTGGAGTACTGTATATATAATTTTAGTTTTACTAAAGACGATGAACTTACAAGCTCCGACATACCTGTATACATGTAATAAGTAACTGATTGTATATATATAATTAATATTAAAACATTGTCTAAGATAGGCTTGATCAGCTTAGAGTGAGATACGATCAACTTTCATGTGTCTAAAGTATCATTTTAATCTACTAGCTCATTTTTATTCTTCTATTTTTATCTATTCGTATAAAATTGTGATGTAAATCAACATATATATGTTTATTGCACGGCGATTCATGTTTCAGCTTAAGCCTACCTCTTTATGGTAAATGAATTAAAAAATATAATTAACCGTTTGTTACAATTACGATAAATTTATGAGACGAATGAGACGAATTATTCATAAATTTCACTTCCTTTTGACAGGCTCATTTTACACATAATTGAAATTGTTTACTTCGAAACAAAAAAATGCGTGTTTCGATCAACATTTGCACGAATTCTTTTCACTAAGAAACAATCAGAAACGAGTTCGATCACTCGCTATTTCATACTGCGCAACGTAAATAATTCATAGCCATAGACTGGGGATGTAAATTTATATTCCCATTGAAATTCCGAACGTTTTTCTCGTTTTAAGATTTAAATTGATAGTTTATGTTTATAAGGCAACAACTGGGCGATGTGCAAAACGGTTTTCAATAGCAATGCCCTTTGCCGTTTCCCTATTTAAAAATTTATAAAAGTACAATTATTGCAACATTATAAAAGAGAATCATTCGGTGCAAAAGTTGCAGTTTTGTTTGGGGCGCCTGCCTATTGCTCCAGGAGTGCCATATTTCTAAATACGCTACTGACTAAGACCGATTTATAAGGAACACAAGTTGCTTCCTAATTTCTAAATGCGCACTGCCCAAGACGAACTCTGAGGAATACTAGAGAGGCGTTTAACAAGCATAAGTAATTTTATTTCAAATTTAAATAAATTCCACAATTTAATGTTAATTTAAGTTTAAATTTAATGTTAAGATTTTACTAAGAAATTCCAACAATGATCACATTTCGACAAAGAACTGTAGTTTATTATTGTGTTAACACTAATAGACAACGATTGTCATCGCTGTAATTGCTTAAGGTAATTCTGTCATGTCCGCATGAAAACATCNAAAAAAATTCAAAAAGTGTTAGAAGTTCCAGCAGAAACGTTTATACTACGCAAAATAGAAAAATCTGAAGCTACATTGAATACTCAAATTGTCACTGTAAATACAATAACTGTTTTGGAACCCGAGATTATATCTTTAGAAAAAACAGAAATTAATGAAGAAGAAAAGAAACGTAGAGCTGCCGAAGAATTAAAGAAGAAATTAAAGTTAGGGCTGTTTGGTGGCGATAGCGCAGCCATTGCATTGCTGTATGACAGTGCCACAGGTAGAAACAAATGTAGCATGACACCTGATGTAAATGTAAATGACGCAAAAATAACAGAACAGCATAAAGACATTTGCTGTGCTGCAAAAGAACAATGTATGATGTCCACTTCGTCTCGTATTGACAACATGCTGTCACCTCGAGACAAGACGAGACAAGATTAAACCAAACAAAATATATGAACCATTTATTTCAACACAGGTAATTAAATAATATGTAAATTTTTATATTCTTTCTTCTTGTGGTTCTGTCGTTTAGTGGATAGGAATGGTAGTCAGTCACGGGTTCGTTTCTTGATAACGGGATGGCTACATGTCTAACACCGAAATGGTGTTCGATTTCTTATAGAAAATCTTCCCTGGAAAAATGGCATGGTTTGGTTTGATAAAATACGGCAACACAATACATGTGCGATCTGGCAAGGTGGATGGCTCCCTGGAGGATCGCGTTTGCGTTGCGTTGCTTAACCTATAAATTTTTCTACCCTGCGGGAAGACCTTTAGAAGAAATTAAGAAATAAACATAAAAATTATTGTATTTTATAAATAATAATATTCCTTATCGCTGAAAAACGATACAATCATATTTTACCATATAAGAAAATACTAACAAGTAAGTATACATTGTAGCTGTGCATTCCTGCACAGAAAAAACACTATTCACTTTTTTTTGTACCTTGTAAGCATCTCACAAAAAGAACCTTAAAAACTTTACGTTTTAAAAATAATTTTAAGTAATTTACTTTTTAAAAAGTATTTTATATTTCAAATTTAAATAAATTCCACAATTTAATGTTAATTTAAGTTTAAATTTAATGTTAAGATTTTACTAAGAAATTCCAACAATGATCACATTTCGACAAAGAACTGTAGTTTATTATTGTGTTAACACTAATAGACAACGATTGTCATCGCTGTAATTGCTTAAGGTAATTCTGTCATGTCCGCATGAAAACATCCGATGGGTCGAAAATCATTATGGAAATCTTTGTTTTCCAAAAATAAATCGTAAGTTTTAAGTTGTGTTACTGTTCAGATATTGTGTTATCACTTCTGTTGTAAAATTCTAACTAAAATTATACACGTAGAGTGGATGACAGAAGTACTGAGCCAAGTTCCACTACTTCAAATTCGGAATCGCGAATAATCGAGGAACAAACTGGAAACAATGAAGATCCTAAATCTAGGGTGGAAAGTAATAACGATGACAAAACTGCCGAAAAAGAAAGGTCAATTTCCGTAAATTATCCCGTAGAAGGTAAGAAAAACATTCAAAAAGTGGTAGAAGTTCCAGCAGAAACGTTTATACTACGCAAAATAGAAAAATCTGAAGCTACATTAAATACTCAAATTGCCACTGTAAATACAATAACTATTTTGGAACCCGAGATTATATCTTTAGAAAAAACAGAAATTAATGAAGAAGAAAAGAAACGTAGAGCTGCCGAAGACTTAAAGAAGAAATTAAAGTTAGGGCTGTTTGGTGGCGATAGCGCAGCCATTGCATTGCTGTATGACAGTGCCACAGGTAGAAACAAATGTAGCATGAAATCTGACGTAAATGAAAATGATGCAAAAATAACAGAACAGCATGAAAATATTTGTTGTACTACAAAAGAAGGATGTGTAATGTCCACTTCGTCTCGTATTGACAACATGCTGTCACCTCGAGACAAGACGAGACAAGATTAAACCAAACAAAATATATGAACCATTTATTTCAACACAGGTAATTAAATAATATGTAAATTTTTATATTCTTTCTTCTTGTGGTTCTGTCGTTTAGTGGATAGGAATGGTAGTCAGTCACGGGTTCGTTTCTTGATAACGGGATGGCTACATGTCTAACACCGAAATGGTGTTCGATTTCTTATAGAAAATCTTCCCTGGAAAAATGGCATGGTTTGGTTTGATAAAATACGGCAACACAATACATGTGCGATCTGGCAAGGTGGATGGCTCCCTGGAGGATCGCGTTTGCGTTGCGTTGCTTAACCTATAAATTTTTCTACCCTGCGGGAAGACCTTTAGAAGAAATTAAGAAATAAACATAAAAATTATTGTATTTTATAAATAATAATATTCCTTATCGCTGAAAAACGATACAATCATATTTTACCATATAAGAAAATACTAACAAGTAAGTATACATTATAGCTGTGCATTCCTGCACAGAAAAAACACTATTCACTTTTTTTTGTACCTTGTAAGCATCTCACAAAAAGAACCTTAAAAACTTTACGTTTTAAAAATAATTTTAAGTAATTTACTTTTTAAAAAGTATTTTATATTTCAAATTTAAAATAAAACTAGAACTTTTTTATGAAGTTCGTTATAGAACGATGATTTCAAATCGTATTTGCCATTTTTAATTAATGGAAGGATAATGATGGAGATAGAATCATTTCATGTTGATAAGCTAATATTTCGGCAACCGAAAATATTAGAAATTACAAATATTTAACGTTAAATTAATACGAAGAACATTCCTGGTTTTTAAATCTTTTTATCAAAAATTATATAAAAAGTAAAAGAACCAAAAAAAAATCGAACATTTTAAAATAATATTTCGAAAACTTTTCATTAGAAATTTTAAATTTATTTTAAATTAATTTAAAAATTTTTTTCGTTGACGTATATTAAATTATATTCTAAACGATGCGATTAAACTACTCTTTGCCAAGAAAAAATGGCTCTGAAAAGAGCCGTTGGGTCGCTGATTTTCAAGAAATCAGCAATCGGGGCCTTTCTCGTGGCAACTAATTCCTATATGACTACCGGATTTAACAAATCTTCCTTTTTTTCCTCACGGATTTCTTCCTCTTCGATACCCGTTTCCTCTTAGGCTTGCAACTGCGGGAGCCTNATTTTCAAGAAATCAGCAATCGGGGCCTTTCTCGTGGCAACTAATTCCTATATGACTACCGGATTTAACAAATCTTCCTTTTTTTCCTCACGGATTTCTTCCTCTTCGATACCCGTTTCCTCTTAGGCTTGCAACTGCGGGAGCCTTTCGATTTCTTTTGACTTTTCTTCCTTCGGCGATTTTTTTTCTTCTGACCCTTTATTAATTTGATACAAATACAGACTCCCTTCTCGCTTCTATCTGACTTCATCTTCCTGATGTTGGGACGATCAACGGGCTCTTTATCACTAAGCTCTCGTTTTTTATTTACTTCTGATCCTTCACTCATGATGAATTCTTCTATTGCATTCGTTGCTAGCCGAATGAAGATATTTTCGAATTCGTACTGACAATTCGAACGTGCAGTTTGCTTCTAATCTTCTGCGACGATTCGTCCATTACGTAATTTATTTTTGAATTTTAATTTTTATTAAATAATTAATATCAGTATTAATTTCAGTACTAATTAATGTCTATAATCGCAAACAAAAGTCAAAGTTAAAAGTCACTAATAAGCATTCGGGTACTTTAAGTAAAATGAATAGTAATTGGCTAGCAGTTTCCAAACTAGGAAACACCTATCAAAGTTCTTTTACCAAATATTAGCCTACCAGTGCCTAGTTGATAAAACTGAACAAGCCTAATTAACGGGCTGGCAGCATGGTGATTAATCTCTTTACATGTGGTGCAGACGGGTGGTGAAAATAGAAATATGGGCCTCACCATATCTAAGATCGACACTCAGCGGCGGATTAACGTAAAGGGAAATAGGGCTTAAGCCGTGGGTTCCCAAGTGTCGAGCGCCCAAAATATTGAATTATTATCATAAATTGTAAATACTATTTTTCGTTAACAATAAGCGCTTATCGTATAGTAAAATAGTTGTTAATATTAATAATATAATAATAATAACGATAATTTATAGTATTATTTGTATTAACAAAAGAGAAAGCTTTGTTAAAACTTCAATAATCTCTAGGGCCCGAGAAGCCCAGTTCCATCCATCCCTGTCGACACCTCTTTAAAATATTCACGAGGTTTTCTCATAGCCTGGATTCGATCCCGAGTCTTTCATAGCTGATTTTTATCCGTTTGGTCGTCCGTTGTACAATATTAAGTGTAATGTATAAAACAACATTAACGTAAATATTTCTAATTTTTAAATTTAATTAATTTAAACCACATTAATTATAATTTGAACACGTCTAAGTGACAATCTTTAATTTTGAATACAGTGCAAAGATTCTGTTAAAAGTCATAAGCCGAAGTCTTCTCTACGTGTTTACAACTCAGAAAAAAAGATATGCACTGTGAGGAAACCACAAAACGATAACGATACAGAAAAAAATTGGGAAGAAAGTAAAGAAAAATTCAAAGAAAATCAGTTAATTAATTCAAAAAATATAGAAAAATTCACTTATTTCGATTACGTATACGATTTCAAACATTACAAAAAGTATTGTAATGTTTGAAATGGTAAAACACTTGCGATTAAGTTCCTCTAACGAATATATATGAATATATTTCATTGTTAATTAAAATTGTTATTAATTTTCGAACCTTTTCCACAAATTTTTAAAATAAATAAAATTTTAACTTTAAATTTCTAAGTTCACATTTTTAATAAATATAAATATTTTAAAATTGATTAGTCACATCCCCAAAACATTAAAATTGTACATTCGATTATATTTTATCATTACTATGGAAAGGACTGACCTTCAATAAGGTTGACCAGCATCAATAAGTGATGCTGGTTAACCTTATTGTCTGACTCTAATAGTTATTGTCTTTGTTATAGTTTTTTCCATTCTTTTTTCATTCTTTTTCATACCCATCACGGGATCAACAAGGATAGAATATGTAAGAATAGTTTTTGTATGGTACGAATAAAAACGTAGTTATAAAATACAATATTTTTTTATCTCGAAAAAATCTAAATCATGTACATTCTTCTGTATTGGACTAAATCGTGTTTTAACATTAGTTAAATACTGTATTGAAGAGTTTGTCATGGGATGAACACACTCAGGAAGATTACAGCATTTATTCCAATGTCGTTGTAAAGAGCAATATTAGTGGAAACATAACAGTATGACAGAAAGACGTGTCTGCAAGCTAGTGGTGTCGACCAGTGGATTAAAGGTGTGTTTTCAGATTGGTTCGTGGAAGAGTTGAACTGAGCGTAAAAGAAGGGAGAACGGATAAGAAAAATACAGAAAAAAGTACATATTTTTTAAGTGAACGGTTTGAAATACAAATGCATTAAAAATAATATTTAGACCGTACTTTTTAGAATTTAGAGGACTAGCTTAGACCATTCTATGCTCGCCACTAACGTACTGTATATATTAATTTGTTAAGTATAAAATTCTGTGCGGCTTATCGGTTCGGGTATGAACATGCTGCAGGTATAAAAATAAAATTCTTACACAGTTATTGAGTCTGGTGCAATCAGAAACGAAAAGTTCACAGCCGTTCGAAAGTGGCGGAATGGCAAACAAATGCATGAGACAAACATGTCGGGCGCTCGCGCATCATCTAGCGATTATTGTTTTTTGATATGAATTAATTTAAACACTTACACTATCCATAAAAAAAAAATAGAATTAAAGTTAGATTTACTCTAGGTATACAAGATGGTGGGGCTTCCGGTCCAACTTGGAGACCGTTAATCAATGTTAAATCGTATTGACGATAAAATTCACCACACACAATCTTTAAACCACAATTAATCAAGTGTGATTTTAACTTCTTTAACTCAAATTAAGTCTACTTAAGAATATTCCTACTGTCACATACCAGATTTAAAGTCGAATCCGAGGTAAACTGTCATATCCGGTGTATTCAACAGATCCAGTTATCATTATTCAGTCCGAGATTTAGGTCATAGATCGATTATATTATCGGTTATATGGCATCACTGAATGTCGCTTGAAAAGTTAAGCAACTCGTTTCTGGATATTTTGTAATGGCGGAGAATTATTTTTACGCAAGGAAACGGCATGTGATGCAATCTTGTGATATAGATTATCTAAAAATCCAATTTAGGATGTCGGGCGAACAAAGCGTATCTTACCACTCTAAAGAAGCCAGGATCGAATCGAGCGAGCATCTTAATAAATTTTTCTTGGGCAGTTTGTTTAGGATATTTTGAACCTTTCCACTAAATCACGGTCATAGTGGTTCTGGCAGCGCCTACGACGGATACAAAAAAATAAGACTTTCGTTGTGTCCAGAGTAGAAAGAGCCAGTTGAAAAATTATATGAGACTAATCAATGATGATGCAACTTTTTCTATTGAATTAATTAATTCCTATTACAAATTGAATTGAAGTCACAATTCTAAGTCTATCCAGGCCGTCACCGTTACTTTTTTCCGAGTTTTCCGTCTGTTAGAATCGACGAGCGGTCGGAAAACGATCCATCACCAATGTAAAGATTGAAGACTTCAAAGAAAACAATAATGAAATGAGAACATAAAAAATACTACGTTACGGCATTATTCTGATGTAATTTTTTATTTCTTTGATATCAAAGCCGTATTTATGGAATAGAACTTCCATACGAACACTTCAGTTCCGGTCATATGGAGGTTTTGGCCTCCGAAATTCCTGTCTTAATGCGACGGCCTATTCGGCAAACGAAGAGCTCTGGAACTTTAATATGATTGCTGATTAACTATTCAATTAAGGTCTATCAACATGCCACGGATTGCTTCAATATGTAATTCAGGCACTCTGAATAACTATGCCACAGTAAAGAGGAACGCCTAAAACCACGTTTTAACTAGAAAAACAGTAAAGTAGTTACTGACTCCTATCCATAATTATGAGTTAATTAAGAGAATAAGACAATTTACATGTAGAGTAAGTGATAATTCGTATATGATGAGTCTATTATTAAAATTAGGCTATAAATAATTATTTATTTTAAAAACTACGTATAATTATATGCCATTTTTATAGTTTTAAATCAAATTATTACAATTTACCAAATAATAAAACTAAAATTCTCATTTTAAGTTCGAATAAGAAAAATTAATAAGCGAGCGTAACATCGCAATTTTAACTAATTTGCATAAATTAAACGCTTGTGAAAGGTTGTTGTTTGAAAAGAAAATAGTGAAAATAAAACTTTATTGAATTTTCTCAATAATTTTCTTTCGATATTTTTATTATATGATTCAGATATTTGCATACGCGTAACCACGTTGAGGATAAAGGTGACTGGACGATCCGTTCTTCGCGAAATTCTGTAAAGAACGACGACAAGACAAGACGTAATTTGCTGGTGTTCTGTGTACAGAAAGTATTAAGAATCATGAATAATTCTACGACAGTATCTAGTGAAATAAAAACTGTGTTGGTAGATGCAACAAAAGTGACTCTCGATGAAACAGTTCAGAGCGTATTAAGTGTTTTCGATGACGTTCGAGTTAATTCCAACGTGACAATGGATGTTTACACGATTCGAGTATCTGACGTAAGTATCAAATAAATTTTTAAAACTTATGAAAAATAATTATTGTCCAACAGTTTTTTTCTGTATAATGAAGTTTTTTTACATTATTTTTGTTTTCAAATGTGTCTAGATTTTGTCTTAGTGCTTTTTTTTCCACAGATCGTCTGTCTTTCTATTTGCTTCTTGATAATTCCTATTATCTATCTCATTGGACACGTATGTGTGCGTAAAACAACGAAAGACGTTGGAAGCTTTCTGCAATTTACTGGTTTTATTTATTCCTTCACAATATTCTTGTACATTCTAAGCTGGTCTAATGTGAATTTGGTAGTATTTTCCCCTTTTTTAAATACCTTTTTTTTGTTTATTTTTTATTCTAATTACATTGTTTTTCTTTTATTTTTGTAGGATGTCTTCATGAAAAATAATGCATAGTGTGGAAGAAGGAAGCTAATCTTGACGTTCGTTCTTCGAAAAATTATTCGAATTGAACTGTTTCACTTCGATTTATGTACTGGGACATCTAGTAATTTTAATGACGTATATTTATATTAGAATTCCTTTTAACATTTTAATGTAATTTTTAAAAAGAAATGTATAAAAATGCTTGTCTAATTTTGCTGTTTAGAGCGAAAAAACATTAATAAAAAATATTTCAGATAAACTAATTTTTTAATTGCTGGATTGTTTAGAATATAATCACTGACTAAAACGTCAACAAGATTACGTAAAAATTAACTTCGCCATTTTAGTCATTTAAACTTAAAATATGGTGTCAATTTATCACAATTTTAAATCAGATTAAATTACTTACTAGTTACATTTTTTTCAATGCTTATAAATAATTGTTTTTTCCTGTGAGAAATGATCTTCTTAATGTAAGACATTAAATACACAGTTTAGGTGAGCACCTTTTAAGAATCTCTTGGCTAGCGGTTCTCAAATGTGCCAAGAATGTGTTAGGGAAATAACACAGCTATTTGTAATTTTAAAATATCTGTATTTAGTCTGCAATTTCACTTTGTGCATCTATACTTCGTTAAACTCCAGAACAGATCGGTTAGATGAAAATCCAGACCGCACAATAGAAAAGTTATCGACCCGAATTCTCAATTGATCGTATACGAATTTCCGAGAGAAACCGGATGTGACGTTATTTCAAACTTTTGTCGATAATAGAGTTAAGGCATCATCACTCGATCACCGGAAGTAGTATGGTACAGAGCCGGGGTACTGCTAAAATCGTCATTAGATATGGAAAAAGTAATTTATAAAATATGATTAAAATTGCAACCAGATAAATGGACCTCATCACAATAACTGTATCCGTTCATAGATTTCGTAATTTCATTTTAATTGCTATTGTTTGTTGAAATTATTTATTGAAAATTAACTGTGTTAATTATTTAAGAATTGTTGAAAAAGAAAGCAGATATGACTCGTAAATCATTCTTGAATTCTTTATTTTCTAGAAGTAAAACGTGAGTAATCTAAATGACTTTCACTACTATACAGTTTATAAATTTGAAATTATTTATGCAGAAAAACTGCCGCCAAGTCTGAAAGCGTTTCCTTTTCTTTTGCTAACGACTCAGAATTACAAGTACTTAATAGCGAGAGAGAAACACATCGAGAACAGTCAATAATGGAAGCGAAATTGAATCAAAATGATAAACCAATTTCATTGAACTACTCTGCCATAGGTCAAAAACAGATTAAAAATGTGGGAGAAGCTTCAGGAGAGATGTTTTTCGTACGCAAAGAGGAAACAGCAAATGACAATTTTCAGCAGGGACCATTCGTTAATGTTAATGAAATCCATGTACAGATAATAGAAAATTGTACGAATCTTTCTGATTCTGTACAGAAATCTGATTTACAATTCATTGAAAAAGAAAATAGTTGTAGAAATCTGGAAGTATGTAGTCATTTTGATAGATCAGAAGTATTCGCTGAAGAGACTAAATTGTTAAACGAAAGAGATGAAACATTTAGTTTATTTCAGGTAAACATTCATTATAATAAAATATGAGGAATTTTATTAACGTTAAATGATAAATTCACTAAAATATTTTCATTTTGAATGTAGTCTAACGGTCATCCGACAGATTCTACTTCAAGATCTTCTATCTATATTTACAATCCAGGCAACAAGACGTGCTCTCTGGCAAAATCTACAAATAAAGCTGGTGTAAATAAAAAAGAATGTAAAAGAAAAGAAAAAGTTTATGCAAATGAATTAATAAATACAAGAATTGCAGACGATTTATCGTCTTTTAATGAAGTGTAGCATGGATATAAATCATAAAATATTATACTTGTTTAATTTATTTATAAAAATAAAAAAATTCATTTTATTACAAAATAAACTTTTATTTATTAATTTTGAAAATGTTTGAATACTTGTAACACGATTATAATACACTTTTAAGAAAGTAATTTATAAATTGTTGTGACATCGTCAGAATGCCGTGCTACAAGTATAATGTTCTAAATTTTTTAAGTGTTTTGCCTCTGTACAACATACTTTCCCTGTAGCAATAGAGTCGTGTCGGTCATATGTCTAAATCCGTTCAGGAAAAATGTTTGAATTGAAATAACTTGGCTTCCAGTTCAAATCGGTTGTTCATGTATGGTTAAACGAGGGCCTCCTGTCCCTACGCTTTTCATATCTGGTCTTGATTTTCATCTATTTAACTTCGTTTTCGAGATTAATAAAGGAAAGTCAAACCGACAACAAACGAGATTGTGAATTTATTTCTACAATTTCTTTATAAATTGTAATTTAAAAATTCAAATATCGTTTATAAGACTTAACCTCTTATTTTACAATTTTCTTGTAGAGTTTACCGTTTTTCTTCGTAGATATAATTCGAAAATAAGGACCTATTAGTGATCGAATAGATAAAAACACTGAACACTGGTTATGAGTTCGCGCGTGACTAACGGAGCTGAAAACGTAGAGTTTTCGGGTTCTCTTCACGTTAGTAACACCTAAACAGGGGCCAGTTTTTCTTAAAGTGCTTTCTGCACACTGTGTTAACGTCGTATCACTTTAAGCATATTGGTGGTTATTGTGTTTGCTGGAATTTAGTTGGTGCAGTAGTATACTTGGCATCTTTGTGTACATTTTTTTTATTTTTTTATTTTTTTTTTGTGGCTGACGCTCTGGGTAATTCTGTGGATTCTACACGTGGAGATATACTTGACGCACTGCCACTGTTTCTCAATGGTAATACCTGGTGGAACTATTTTTGTCATGCTACAACAGTTCGTGTTTGAACTTAATACACGTTATTACATTTATTGTAATTGCTTGATTTTACTGAAACTGGGAGGAACTTACATTTTTCTACTGGACTGTTTTCTGCATCAACTCTACATCAATACATGCTTTGTGGTGTACTTGTGTATTATATTATGTGTTCTATTCTGGTGCGCCATTGTGATGTGATCGTCTAGGTATGATCGTCTCAGTGTTTATCGGTTTGTAGCTGGTGGTTGAAATTTCTGTGATTTACAGTGGTTTTCTTCCTATTGAAATAATTGTGGTGTGGACGAAGTTTCTTCAACTTCCAGTGAATATAAATGATGCAGCGTGAAGACAATCCTTCAACTTCTGGTGAATCTTACTATGTCGGAATATTATGCATAGATGCTTGGCGGAGTTCAGTGGTGTTGAGAACATTGTTCAACTTCCATTGCTCAACTACTAGCGGATTTTCTTGTGGCCGAAACATAGTATTTTGGTGCAAATGATTGTTACTTCTTTACACTATACTGTCTTATTATTATATATCATAATTTGTATATATACTCATTTCTATATGATATGTATCATCTATGATATTTTTGCACTTCTGCTGTTCGCTTTTTTTTTATAATTTGTTAACTTGCATTTAATTGTTGTGATTCTAATTTTATTTATCTTCGTTACTTCTAATTGTTACTGTATATTTACACTATCTTATTTTGTCAAAAAAAAAAAAAATTTTTACTTGTATAAATATATATTACGCCTGTATAATATCCTTGTTGCCCTCCCATCATTGTACTATTTTACTCTTAATGTTTATTAATATGCTGTATTCATTGACATAATTATTTAGTGTTTTTAAATCCTGATAATGCTCAGCGAAATCAGGAAATGTAACGCATGTTATTTTAATAAAATGAATGAATGAATGAATGAATGAAAAAAAATGCTTTCTGGGAGACACCGCTCACGTCCGCATATCACACGTATTGGATATTACAACACAATTGTTGTAATATCCAATCAAACCATTCTACATTTTTTATACATTTTTGAAAAATGTTTTATCAGTGACAGAATGGATGATCTATTAAAAGCGCGTACTAATCGCAAATTAGCGCCTGACTAACCGGTTGGTCGCGTGGATTTTCCGGGGTTTTTTCAAGTGTCTACGACCTAATTGAGTTCCAGATTACAATTCCTCAAAGATTCCTCTTAGCAATAGAATTTCGCAAAATTCCTCTTAGCAATAGAATTTCGTTGAGATTTACCCAATAGTTCTTTCTACGTACTGTACATCACTAAACACCTACTTTGTAATTATGATCACTGTATTTAATGAATCAGTTTTGCATTCAAAATGTCAATTATGGTAAACAATTTATGCGCAAAATCTAAAATTAATTGACCCATTAAATTTTAATAAAATTTTATTTATGAAGAATTCGTTATTTTTTTTTCAGATGAATTTTGAACATATTCGAATTGAAATGGAATAAACATATGTTTATTGCATTTCAATTTTAAATAAATTACTTCAGGTAAAAGCTATTATCGATCGAAATATATTTGGCATATTAACCCATTAAACGTTAAATGCATCATAAACTCCACCCAAAAACAATGTAATAAATTAAAGTGAAGAAAATACATTTTAAAATGATTTTACATTCAAGTCTTCTCTCTAGCAATTTTGAGCACTCTAATCATTTTCTATTGTAAATCTATGGATTCTTCTCTATCATTTTCAATCACGGTACCAATTTTCTTATGTAATTTTATTTTCTATTATGTTTTTATTAGTGTCTTCTAGAACAAACTAATCATCTTATATGCTTTAAGGAATTCGTATTAAATATAATGTAACATTTTCATAAATGAATTGGATTTGGATCAAACTTCCTCCAATATCTGTATTTAAACAGTTTGACAATAGCGTTCGGAACGTAAGTGGAATCATGTTCGACGTTCCAAAAGCCATTGTCAAACTTCTAGGCTTACAGGAAGGCGGCGCTGACGTCCGACGTACACGTTTTCCCGATGAAAACGTCGGCCGTAACCTCTTTATTACTGCCTCCCCTAACGGAATAATATAATTTTTATCTCCAGTAAGGGAATATTCTCTTCTCCAGATACAGATACTTCGTACATCCGTTCTTATTTCCGTAACGGATAGAAATTCTCGATCTGTCTTCGAACTGTCCCGGTGAGCAGAACACTTTCTCGCGCGTGTGCACGTCTTTTTTCAAGCACGATCATTTCGTTTACTAACGACTTCCTTCTACTTCAGGTAATTATGACAATGCGCGATTTTATGTAAAGTCTCTCTTAAGTGGCATCAAAGAGGACCCGACCCTCCGGTCATATATGTAATCAGAGAATTGACTCAAATTTAAACAATTTCAAATAAATTATAAAATTCAATAAAATATAAGTATATGCTACTACACACATTAATTGTTTGGTACAAGAAGTTTCGTTCCATTAGAGCTTTTTATAACCGATCTTAAGTTTCATATACATTGTATCAGACATGTAATCTTCCAGTGTTATTGTGTCAAGATAATTTGTCAGTATAAAAAGTTCTGTGAAAAACTATTATCCTTAAACAATAGAAAGACATTATTTTTAAAAAAATTATTTGGTGGTTTATTTAAGGGCTAAAAACATTTGTCTTAAAAATTCATCTTCAGATACATCTATAAAAAAATTTAAAAGAATTTTTCAAGTTTCTATGCTAGGTTAGATCTATGTACTGTGATTACTAGAATAATAAAACGCGCTACAACAAAAACGTTTGTCAAATTTGAAACAAAGAATTATTTAAGAAATAGACGAATTAATACATTTTGTATAAAAGTTCTTCACAACTGTTTAGAATCGTAAGTTGAAACACCATTCTGTCTAGAAGAGGGTTACAACTCTACGTTCCCGTCTAACATAAAACAATTTTCCAGTTGCATTCTTCCTTCGGAAACTTTGGAAATACCTTTCAAAGCCTGGCATATTGTGACGTGTAATATATAAATTTGAAAAATCATCAGAACTATATTAAAGAAACGATGATAACGACCAGACTTCTTAGAATCAAAAAGTATATTCCTAAAATATATTATTTGAATTAATTTTTTTATATCAAAATCAAATCAAATACAATAAACAAACAAAAAAAACTTACTTTAGCCATCTTAATCCTTCAGTAATCCACAGTAATGAAATAGTCAGCGAGAACAGCAAGAAAACTTGTACCATTAAAATATTATCGAATTCAGTGAAGAGATATTCACTTTTGATGAACAATATAATGTTGATCAGAGATAAAGTAGCGGTGAGAGCAAACTGGAAAAAATTTTAATGAATTAATTGAATATATATTTCATATTGAAAAACTGAAAGAAAAACCATGCTTTCCGTGTATGTACAGTGTTCACGATCCATATAGTTTTATTTCGGAAATAAAAGGGTAAAAAACTGAAGAGTTTCTTTGTGGTTGTGTATTTGTCTCTTTAATCCGATTTTCAGTTCGGTAGACTATCATATACAGCATATGCTGTATATGATAGCCATATACAGCATATGCTGTATATGATAGCCATATACAACGAAAATAGCAGCAGCCATAAGTGATTTTCTGAAGAGTTTCTGTAACTTCAAAATGCGCCCACAAGTTCGACAGTGACACAAGATAATTAAAAAAAATTATAATAATCGCAAATACAGTATAGAAAAACACAAAACAATTACGAACATATGACACAGGAACAATACTTATACCATATAGAAGTCTTATAACTAATATCAACCATAAATTATTTCCACTCTCCCATTTTCCCCCTCCTTTTTACTACATTTAACTTATTTTAAAATTTATTAAATTATTTTAAAATTATTTTAAAATTTATTTTAAAAATTATTTTACATTACTTAAAATGTTGTGGAACATTTCAATACTTACCTTGTAAAATCGAGAACGTGAATGAAATACGTAGAAGAATGAAAATTCGAATAATAATCGAGTAAAATTATCTTCAAAATCCATCGTGTAAATACTTAAAACTAATTTGGTTGAGGAAATTCGTACTTTATTCTCAAAACAGGAATGCATACGATGATTTTATACGCCTATGACGTAAAATTATGCAAAAGTATAATTTAATCTCACAGATTATTATTGCTTTAGTCATAATTGATTTAAAATTTTCCTGGAATTGATAGAAATATTTTAAATTTATATTAAGCGAATAATTAACATTCATGATTTATTCTGAAAAGTAATTTTTTATAAAATTATGAAATAATTTTACAAAAATTTTCTAGCAGGAATTCACAAAACTCCGTACATACCGATCATGAGCCACTTAGAGGATTCCTGTGAAAACTTTCGTTTACGTTACTTATTTCCTCACAATACTATTCAAATTATATTTCTAAGATGTAGAAGTATGCAAATTGTGTTCCTCACACAACTCTGTGGAGAGTATAAGGGCCTTTTCACCAAGTCCAATCGGCCATGCTTACAATAGAGTAGCAGAGTGGTGAGTAACGGGGCCCGAGTTAACGAAGATGGATCAATTCCAAAAATTTCTGAGGATTTTTTGGATTCGTTCTAATTCCACCGAGTGGTAGGCTGACAGCTGGTCCAAGTCGCAATTTGTGCATCAACTTTCATTGTTCATTAGTGTTTGTGAAAATTGCAACACCATGAAGAATTATCCGATTACAATGAAGGTTATACAACATATTATTGATATCACTGTACATAAGAGGTTACGTTTTCAGAACAATACAACAGTTATTACTTGATAAAATCAGTACTGTATTTTGTAAAGTCTTCGTGAGCTAATCTATCAGCTGCTATAAGTCGTGGCAATAAATTGAAAAGGCTTTGAACGGGTCCTGAAGAATTGCTTGTATTCGCAGTTTACTGGTACTCACCGCTGGAGGACGTTAATTAATTAACTGACAGGTAAGTCCCAGACATATTCAACAGGCCGTATCTGTCATGTCTCGAAAAGTTTTGAAAATTCCTGGAAACACGTGGTCGGGCATTGTTCTGCTGGCAGGAGTACTCTAAAGGAACGATATGACTTCTGCCCCAACAACTTTTCTGATATATGGCGAAGACAATTGAGAATGCCCTCAAATCATAGCAGACGAGATCGAAAAGATTTTATGAAAAACAGGCCTATATTGAAGTGCATTACGTGAACAAAACGGGATAAACTGCATTTCGCTGACCCGTATTCTACTAGTGTTCAGAGGTTAACAGTTTTTTTCAGTATGTAGCTGATTGAAGATATGTAATCCTGTAATAAACCCTATATTTATAATTGTATTGATACCTGACACTAAGTGATAAACTCATTATTGTTTTCAAACAAATCTAGTTTCATTTTATGTCATCAAAGTTCGTCATAATTGAGAAAGAAAAGTCTAGAAATACTTTCAATTGCATGCGGTAATTTTTCGAAATATAAACGAGTGGTACGTCGGGAAATGAAACTATAGTCATAAGTGACGTCAATGAATATTTTAACAGGGATCTTAAGCGATTGGTTGTCCGTGATCGATATACATAGTCTCAGTTTTCTGGTGTCGCTAGTGGTAATAAATAAATAATATGTATCTTGATTACAGAAAACTTTAAAGTCGATTCTATGTAATGTTAAACATTAATATGAGAAAAAGATTACAAAAAATTTTGCATAAATTACCACATTGGAAAATAAAAGTATCGCATGAAATATATAAAGTGAAAAATATGCATTTCGGTGAAATTTTTAATTTTGCCAGTAGTAACAATATGCAATTATGTGCAACTGCACAACCACAGAATAACCTTTTTTCAAGATTTTGTGCTGACTATGGCAGATTGTATATCCGTGAACGGCTGAAAACGATGTACATCTGTATGGTATAGAATTTACCTACTTACTGATATTACGGAATTCTTTGCCACTCCTTAATAACAGCAGTCACATGTTTCCCTAATTGTTTTTAAGCAGTGAATTTAATACTTATTTTCTTTTAGTTTGTATTTTGATGTAGTATTTCTATTATAGGATTACATTTTTTCCTTGTGAAAAGTCTTTTGGTTACGATGTCTTCATCGTAGTTCTGATTATTCTTCAAGTTTCTAAATTTCATTACACATCGTCTTGGGTTCTGACAGGTATTTGCGAAGTTTCCATAGCAAGAAAGCAACAATTAAAGCAGATTACAAATCTTTCTTTCTACGACGAAGAAGAGTTGCAACCCTATTTCAAGTTAAAGGAAAAGCTTTAGTGTGAACCTAACCTGAAAATTTTAATNGAATATATATTTTATATTGAAAAACTGAAAAAAACTATGCTTTCCGTATATGTACAGTGTTCACGATCCATATAGTTTTTCTTCGAAAATAAAGGAATGACAAACTGAAGAGTTTTTGTAACTTTAAAGCACAACAACAAGTTCGAGAGTAATACAAGACAATTTTAAGAGAATTATAAAAATAGCAAATACAGTATAGATAAACACAAAACAATTACGAACATATGACACAGGAACAATACTTATACCATATAGAAGTTTTATAACTAATACCAACAACGAATTATTTCCGCTCTTCCATTTTCCCTCTCCTTTTCACTACATTAACTTATTATCTTCCATATTTTGAAACAGTGTCGTATTTTTTATTTGCGCTTATAAAACAGATTAACTTATTATCTTCAAAATTTAGTTTACATTATTTAAATGGTGTGGCACATTTTAATTCTTACCTTGTGAAGTCGAGAACCTGAATTAAATATGAAGAAAAAGAAAACTCGAATAATAATCGAGTAAAATGATCTTCAAAGACCATCGTGTAAATAGTTAAAAACTAATTTGGTTGACGAAATTCGTACTTTAATCTCAAAAGAGAAAAGCATACGATGATTTTATACGCCTATAAGGTAAAATTATGCAAAAATATAATTTAATCTCACAGATTATTATTGCTTTAGTCATAATTGATTTAAAATTTTCTTGGAATTGATAGAAATATTTTAAATTTATGTTAAGCGAATATTCAACATTTATGCTTTATTCTGAAAAGTAATTTTTTATAAAATTATAAAATAATTTTACAAAAATTTTCTAGCAGGAATTCACAAAACTCCGTACATGAACAACTTAGGATTCCTGTGAAAACTTTCGTTTATGATACTTATTTCCTGACAGATTATTCAATTTATATTTCTAAGTCGTTGAAGTATGCAAATTGTTTTCCTCACACAGCTCTGTGGACAGTATAAGGGCCTTTTCACCAAGCCCAATCGGCCATGCTTACAATAGGGTAGCAGGGTGGTGAGTAACGGGGACCGAATTAATTAACGAAGATGGATTAATTCTAAAAATTTCTGAGGTTTTTTTCGGATTCGTTCTAATTCCACCGAACGGTAGGCTGACAGCTAGTCCAAGTCGCAATTTGTGCATCTACTTTCATTGTTCATTAGTGTTTGTGAAAATTGCAATACCATGAAGAATTATCCGATTAGAATGAAGGTTATACAACATATTACTGACAATTACGTTTTCAGAACAATACAACAGTTATTACTTGATAAAATCAGTACAGTGGGTAATCGGTTATCGAACAAATCGGATAACGAACACTTTACTCAACAAACATAAAATAAAGCGACGTAAAATAACGAATACCGATGGATTTTCCCTTGTCTTCGGTTAACAATTCGAAACCTTTCGGAGCGCGGGAGACCTTAACATCGACGCTCAACCCGATACCGATCGAATAGTATTAATATTCCTCCGAATTTTGAAACTCTTCCTTGTAATTCCAGCTTTTTGTTTACCTTTCTGACAAATAATATTTTATAATATTTGCGAGAGTGTCGGACTGGCATTTGTTAAGTTTTGCGTCGGGGTTTATTTACTAAAGGTGAAAGTTTAACTGTCCCATCGGATATTCGTTAACGTTTTAATACCAAATTTCGAATTTCATCCGACCTTGCATTTAAATAATTTTTCGTGGGCTACTTGATTTCTGTTCTCTGAATTTTTGAAAGTTCTTTTCTGAACTTTTTATTTAAAAAAAGAAATTGATAATATTATGGATCCTAAAAAGAGGAGTATCAAGAACTGCGCTCACCGTAGAAATTAAGTAAGAGATAATAGACAAAGTAGAAAGTGGGCGCAAGATGTCTGATGTTGTTCGAACAGGTCTACAGCAGACACAATCTTAGTTATGAAAGATATATCAAGAAGTCTTAAGCTGCTAATGGAGTAATGAAAATCACATCTGAAAAATAAAGAACATTTTAGAGCTCATAATTGAACTTGAAACTGATCTGAGACAGAAGAACTCCAAGAACTCTCAAATGAAGAAAAACAAGAAACTCAGAGAGATGTGTTTCCTTTTGAAAAAGAGGAAGGCGAAAGAGGACCAATGACGACATCTGCTACTAAAGATCTTTTGAAGTGGGAGGATGTCAGAACAACGATCATCCAAGTGGCATCCAAACCAGAATAAGGTTAATGGGGTTGGGATCTATACAATTACAATATTATTAATTACTTCCGAAAAATTTTGAAGAAAAGAGAAAAGCAATCGACATTGGACAGATTCTTCCACCCCCACAAACGGAAAAAAACATGACTAATAAAAATGAAAGACTGCATATATATGTATTTTTACTATTATATATAAATAAACACAGTAAAAATGCACATATTTTATTTTAATTTTGGAGTCTCCGGAACGAATTAATCAAATTCCCATAATAACCTATAGTAAATCGATAATCGGTTAACGAACAATTCGGATAACGAACAAAGTCTTGGAACGGATTATGTTCGTTAACCGATCACCCACTGTATTTTGTAGTCTCCGTGAGCTATTCTAAGAGCTGCTATAAGTCGTGGCAATAAACTGAAAAGGCTTTGAACGTGTCCTGAAGAATTGTTTGTATCCGTAGTTTACTGCTACTCACTGCTGGAGGACGTTAATTAATTAACTGACAGGTCAGTTTTAAACAAAATTAACAGGCCTGTCATGTCTCGAAAAGTCTTGAAAATTCCTGGAAACACGTGGTCGAGCATTGTTCTGCTGGCATATACTGCAAGGCGTTCTCTGAAGGAAGGGTATGTCTTCTGTCCCACAACTTCTCTGCTATAGTGGACTCCATTGAGATTGCCCTCAAATCATAGCAGACGAGATCGAAAACATTATATGAAAAACAGGCATTTACGTGAAGAAAAACGCGATAAACTGCATACCGCTGACTCATGTACCACTAGTGTTCAGAGGTTGATTATTTTTTTTAGTATGTAGCTGATTCAAGAAATGGAATCCTGTAATAAACCCTATATTTATAATTTTATTGATTATCTATTGATACATGAGGCTAAGTGATGACTCATTATCAGAGGCGCCGCTAGCTGTTTAAACGCCCGTGTGCAACACTGATTATGCCACTCACTGTTTAACTACGACTACCTATGCTGAGCTTGCCAGAAAGGCTCTTTAGTGTTGTCTCATAAGGGTATGAAAAAAGAAAAGAAATAGACTTTACAAAGAAAAACTATTTATTTTCATTACTAACTTATTTTTGTTTACATAGGTGTAAAGCCTGTATAAATATTTATCTACAGAAATTGAACTCTTCTTGCCTTTATGTTTGCGAAATCCGCTATCAATTTACTTGTATCCAAGCTGTCTAAGATGTCATGTTCAATTGAAACTATAGCTAAATTACTTTGTCTTTTTGCATTGTTGATCTTAAATAGTTTTTTTTATAGTAATTGCGCTCCAGTCGGATTGTTTCTCTATGCGAAGAGATTTCTTATGCTAGAGGTGGGGTGGGTATTATTACAATGACTTTGAATATTACGTGACCGATCGCTCGATTTGCCACCGGCGTGCGGTGCACGCATTGCACGCCCACTAACGGCCGGCCTGCTCATTATTTTTTTCAAACTAATATAGTTTTATTTTGGCATCAAAGTTCGTTATAACTGAGTAAAAAAGTGTAGAAAAACTTTCAATTGCATACGTCAATTTTTTGAAATATAAACGGGTGTTACGTCGGGAAATGAAAGTATAGACTTATGTGCCGTCAATGAATATTTTAACTGTGATCTGAAACAATAGGTTGTCAGTGATCGACATAGAGTCTTAGTTTTATGGTCTCGCTAGTAAATTTTTATAAAATTATTGTAAATTAATCGAAGGAAAATTNATTTTAGGAAATTTTAAAGTCGATTGTGTGTAAAGTTAAGCATTAATCTGAGAAAGAGATTACAAAAAAATTTGCATAATTTACCGCATTGGCATATAAAAGCATCGTATGAATTCGTTTTTTAAACGTATCGTGCGAATTTTGTCAACGAGGTTAATTTTAAACTGTTTACAAGATGGGTACTTTGGAGTATTTTATGCAATTAGTATTCGAATTTCATGTTTTTTACTTCTTTAATTCAGGTTCTCGAATTCACAAAGTAAGTATTGAAATGTGCCACCGCATTTCAGAGTTTAGTTTAAATTTCTTATTAAAGTTAATAAATTAATATAAGATAAAAAGACGATGATACGTGACTAGTGTTAGTTATATTTTTCTTACGTTGTAGATGTGTTGTTCCCGTGTCTTCGTGTGTTTCGTGATTATCTATAAATATATATATTTCTATCTATTTCATTTAAATATTTTTCAGTTGTTCCTTTCCACCGTTTTATGTATGATGAACATTGCAGTGTTAATCACAAGCCATCACCTCTGACCGTGTATGACGGTCTGTTCACGGTCGACGTTCTCATGTTGATCTCGCTGACTATTTCTTTATTATGGATTGCTGAAGTGTTGAGACGTATAAAGTAAGTGTTCATCCTGGTCAAAACAATTAGAGGAAACAAACATTTGCGTAGAAAATAATGTAAGATAAACTATTCTAAATGTGAGATGTTATTGTTAGGTAAGATTCGGAAAAATATATAAAGTGAAAGATATGCATTTCGGCGATATTTTTAATTCTGGCAATAGTAACAATATGCAAGTATGTGCAACTGCATAACCACAGAATAACCTTTTTTTTTAAGATTTTGTGCTGACTATGTCAGAGTGTATATCCGTGAACGGCTGTACATCTGTGTGGTAAAGAATCAATCTACTTATTGATATTACGGAATTCTTTGCCACTCCTCAATAACAGCAGTCACATGTTTCCCTAATTGTTCTGACGCAGTGGATTTAATAATAACTTTGTTTTTAGTTTGTATTTTGATGTGGTATTTCTATTTTAGGATTACATTTTTTCCATGTGAAAAGTGTTTTGGTCACGATGTCTTCAACGTAGTTCTGATGATTCTTCAAGTTTTTACATTTCATTACACATCGTGTTGGGCTCTTACAGGTATTTGCGAAGTTTCCGTAGCAAGAAAGAACAATTAAAGCAGATTACAAATTTTTTTTTTTATGACGAAGAAGAGTTGCAACCCTATTTCAAGTTATAGGAAAGATTTAGTGTTGACCTCTCCTGAAAATTTTAATCTTTTTTTAAAATATACGCAATGAATTTTAAGACAAATGTTCTGTAGCACTTATTCTTTGTATTATTTAATGAATATTCAGTTTTGTATAAAAATTTATATGTACTTTTCAGAAAGTTTTACAAAAAGTTTACCCTGATGAGTGCATCAAAATGTAATGACAATTGTATTGATTATCTTTTAAATAAAGTGAATTTTATAAACCACCTTAAACTACTATATTCCTGAACAAATCACTCTTTGATGAATTCAGGTATAATTCAATCGAAAATTCGAATTCTCATACTTGCTCTGTTGCAAAATGTTTCCCTAATACAGAATTTGAATTAAGATTATTTTAGAGAATTTGAATAGCGAAATCCATTTGAAAAAGCTGCAATCGATTTAATGGGATTCGTGACTCTCAGGTTAAGAATTCTAGCTGTCGTTATATCTATTGTTTATCAGAAGTCTAATCGGTTAGAACAGCATACGAAAGCTGAGAGAGAAGACAAATGTATTTCTAGAAAACGTCAAATTATGCACTTTTTTCAAGTATTTTCAGTTGCAGTTTGACGACTTAAATAAAGTCTGTTTCCCTTTCGGGTATTTGAGGCACGCCTATAGTATTACTCACCAATAAACAACATCAGCTTTATAACATCTACATAAAGATATTACTGTTTCTTCTCATAAAAAAATTGAAAGATATAATCTTCACTTAAATATTAAATTAAATGAAACTCAATAAAGAATATTACTGAAGATTTTAAAAAGCAAACGTGGTCAATATTCCGATCATTTAATCCAATTCTTATTTTAGTAATGAAAAGTCTTGCTACCGAGAATGCCCTTTCCGATTCAATTGATGTGAGTATAATCGTGTTTAATACATTTAAGAGAAGTTGTTTTTTTTTTCACCTGTAGCCTGGAAGATTGCTGCTATTTTTCTTCTCTAGTATTCTTGACTTGTCTATCTCGGGCTGCTTTAATAGAATCATCAAGCTTATAACCCAATACGAAGAGTTCGTTTGTCTTTAATAATCAGGTTTATGAAGAAAACCTTCATACTTACAGACTTCGTACTGTTTGAATCCTTGCCCAATTTGTACAACCTGGCGTAATGAAGTTATCGAAGCTACTAAGCTCGTTAAAAATTAAGACAGCGTAAGCACAATTATTCCAGATATTACAGGTTTTGACAATTAAAGAATTTTCAGAGCCCTGCCACAAATAATCTACATATTGATTATATAGAAATAAAGCAAATCGTTACAATTGCAAATAATTTAGAAAATTAAAACCAAAATGTTGAGATGTTTGAAATTTGGAACACAAAAGTCAGTTAACCTATATGTATACAGCACAGAAACAACAGTTTCTTCCAGACCGAGTATTTTAATATTTAATCGATTCATACGTGTTCCAAGGTTTTACTTAATATTTCAGAATACATTTAAGAATAAGAGCACTTATTTTTCATGCAGGTCAACTTTGTAATTGACACTGTTTTTATGATTTTAATCATGGGCTGAGATAGCAACGGTCCTTTTTACAGATGGATTGAAGGAAATTCGCGCTAGAGTTTAGCGAATGCCGGCAAATATTAGAAATTTCTACGTTGATTGCCCTATTAATTTACGAAATAGCTGGCCCGTGAGATACTTCTGTTGCTATCCTGTAAAGTTACGTTAAGAAAGGATGCTTTGGAACAATTGCATGTACAGTACCTATAATACACTTAACGTTATGTGTTATTAGATACACTTAAGAGATTATTAATAGTTAAGACACATAAGCTTAATAAACCGGTACTTTTTGTGATTTTTATTTGTTTGAGTGAAAAACAATTATTGTTGAACTGACTGTTTATTTCACCTATTTCTTTAGCTGAACTGTTGCTTTCATATTAACTCATACTACGTTATTACAGATATCAATCTCTATATATATATAATCGAGATGAGTTGGTAACAATATTAAGTCCGAGATATGACATACGACATCCGCCTATCTCCCCACCCTCTCGAACTTTCTCAACCAAACTTTAACAACAAAATTGCCCCTTAAACACAAGCTACCAATGCCAAATCTAACTACATTATTTGTTAATNTAAGAATAAGAGCACTTATTTTTCATGCAGGTCAACTTTGTAATTGACACTGTTTTTATGATTTTAATCATGGGCTGAGATAGCAACGGTCCTTTTTACAGATGGATTGAAGGAAATTCGCGCTAGAGTTTAGCGAATGCCGGCAAATATTAGAAATGTTGATTGCCCTATTAATTTACGAAATAACTGACCTGTGAGATACTTCTGTTGCTATCCTGTAAAGTTACGTTAAGAAAGGATGCTTTGGAATAATTGCATGTACAGTACCTATAATACGCTTAACGTTATGTGTTATTAGATACACTTAAGAGATTATTAATAGTTAAGACACATAAGCTTAATAAACCGGTACTTTTTGTGATTTTTATTTGTTTGAGTGAAAAACAATTATTGTTGAACTGACTGTTTATTTCACCTATTTATTTATCTGAACTCTTGCTGTCATATCAACTCATACTACGTTATTACAGGTATCAATCTCTCTATATAAAATCGAGATGAGTTGGTAACAATATTAAGTCCGAGATATGACATACGACATCCGCCTATCTCCCCACCCTCTCGACCTTTCTCAACCAAACTTTAACAGCAAAAATGCCCCTTATACACAAGCTACCAATGCCAAATCTAACTACATTATTTGTTAATCTTTAGAAGGACAGAAGAAACGATCGATATTATATTACAAAATGAATGGTTGTACCGTTGACTATGAAGTGTTCTTTCTGTTAACTGATATCTTCCGTGTACTCGTGATTTGAAAAAGCTGTAAAACATTCGTTCTGCTTCGTGGTATTGTTCCAACTGTGTCTTACGAAAAAAAGAGTCTAACGGCCATAATCACTCTACACGAATAGTAGACATGACACAAGAAAGGATGTAAGAAATAAATGGATTTTAAATGTAAAATAATACTAAATAGATATAATAAACATTCCAGTTATATTTTCTTAGTTTTATGTTCGAGGAATATAAATGAAACTGGTGATATTTAAGACACCAAACTTAAATAATTGCGAAAATACAATAAAAATAAAACACCAATCAGAGATTTGTTTACTTTTATTAAAATATTTTTCAATTTTATAAACTTTTTATAATTTATTTTTTTAATTTTCAAAATCTTATAAAGTATTTACGATATTTAAAGTGAATTTTAAAGAAAATAACAAAAATATATTGTAATTTTAATCGAGTGTAGTAATCACTACACTGAAAATTGTACACATTTTCTAATATGCGTACAATCTTCGTTCAGAAAAATATTACATTTTCCGTTTTAAGCATGGAAAAAGTAAATTTCCAAGCCTGCGAAGAACACGTCTGAATACATCCACGCATCTTGTTACTCCCTAAAAAAGATGTAAAAAAATTTTCGTAAATTAACGATAATAAAACTCATTTTAATATATTTTGTACATAATTGATGAAATAAAATCTAAAATTTCAGTTATATACATTTAAACATAATAAACAATTGCAAAGATAAAACAATTTAAACATATTTTCTCACTTTTTTTTGTGTTTGTGGCTTGGATTTCTCTTCGAATAAACCTTCAGAGCCACCATATTTGATTTCTTTCACATCAGTTTTATTTAAGATTTTGGTGTTGTCTTCATCGTTTTTCTTATGATTTTCTGAAAGAAAAACGATTTTGTGATTTAAAAATAAGTCATTTATTCATTAAAAATTGTAATGCCGTCATCAAGTATATAGGCAATATTAAACAAGAATAAAATAAGGACTGAAGGATTTCATTTGTAACGAAGACAATAGAAATTTACAAGTGTTTTCTATACATTAACGGATTATCGGTGTACTTCGTATGCAAAGAAATCTTGTAATTACTCTCTTATTATCATTTAAGTATATACAGTCGACCCCCTATAACACTGTTGATTATTCCGTTTTATATGAATTCCATGTTGTACGAGTCACTTAGATTTTACAAATGCGTGTGCTGGGCTCACGTATTTGTAAACTCTAAGTGACTCGTACAACATGGAATTCATATAAAACGGAATAATCAACAGTGTTATAGGGGGGATCGACTGTAATATTATATTGATAACAAGAAGTCCTTCCGTTCGTATATTTTCATGGATAAGAATTAATTTATAAATTACACCAATAAATATTAAACAAAGTTATGAATTATAATGTGTGTTGAGATATTATCTGTTAGTGCGATTATTTCATGTCAATGTTAACGCGACTTAAAGGTTGATAAAGATTAATAAATCAATGTCTTGTGAGTTATATTATTAGTGTTTTATGATTTATTGTTTTTTTAATGTTTTATGACTGTTTTGTTGTAAGATTTAAATTAGTTTAATCAGTATGAAATTCTTTTTCATTAGAAAAATCTATGTATACATTAAAGCAAGTTTTAAAAGAGTTACTTCAACTTGAATTTTTCATGTATATATGAAAGAATTAAAACAAATCAACCTAAAAGACTGAAGACTTGCAAATAATATCATGCAATGTTTAGTTATACAAAGGGAAAATCAAACATAAACTATCAAATATTTATTCTCTTACCTTCAAATATTACTAATCCGATTTCATCTCCTACGGAATTTTCATCGAATTTTGAAACTTCTATATTTAGATCAAAGTCATTTTCATTTAATTGCATGGCGACAATTTCATTTTTCGATATTCCCTGACTCGTATCAGATAATTCTTTAATTAAATTTTCTTCAATTAATTTTCTACAATTATCCATCGGAGATGAATCGTCTGCAAGGTTTTTATCATTTTCCGCAGGTAATTCGTCACAAATTTCGTACGTTTCTGTTGTTAAATTAGATTCGTGTGATTCGACATGAATCGGAGTCGACGTAGAGCTGATCAATACTAGTTCACATGTTTCGTGAACAGGCGAATGATCTTGAACCATTATAATGTTTTGATCCGTAATACAATCGCCAAATAGTTTATTTCCGTTTATGGTATCGGCAATTTTTTCTTCAATTGAAATTGTATCTAATTCAAGGCTATAATCATTTTCGGACAAAACATCTTCATAGTCAAGCTCCTCCTCTTCGTATATTACATCACATACCAACGATTTATCTTCCAGCTCCATAAACGCTTTAAATAACGGTCGTAGCGTAAAACCGCCATTTACAATCGATGTAATTTGTGCTGGAGACAATAGAGGTTTTGGCACGTTTTTCTGAAAAATTACATTTAATGAA